TTGGTGAAGGAACTTTTTGATATCACGGAACGTTTGGCGACTGGCTGCTGATCAGAAAAGGACATCTGGACAGTCAAAGGTTTCCCCCCCCTGTAAACTGGCCCACCTTAAAAGAGATTGTATGCACGGGTCACTCCTAAGTTACAGTCACCCCGGATCACGGCACCTTCTGAAGCCTGGCCTGACACATCATCACCTCTTGGTTTTGCCTTGAGAAGCGGCCTCCGTGAAAGGCAGATGGATGAACTCGTGAAGCTGCTTAGCGTTGGCAGCGTTGCCCAGAAGCTCTGCCAACTTCTCCTGAGGAAGAGCGATCAGCTCTGTGATGCTCTTGACGTGATTCATTACGGCCTGGCAGTTTTTGGAATTGATCCCAGGCATTTTGAGCAGGAAGTCTTGAGGACCAGGGTTGTATTTGTCCCGTTCGGGGAGGGTCTCGGAATCGGCCGTGATGGCCAAAGCTGCCGCCGCGTCCGGTTGAGGCCTGCTCTGTTTCAATTCCTCAAACAGCTCGGCCGTGGCGTGCGGCGAAGGGCACCACAGGAGCCGGAGGCGCGGGAAATGGAGCGTCAGGAGGGTGAGTTTGGAGATCACGTCGCTGCTGGAGATCTCTTGGTAGAGAGAAGCCCGGGGAGTGAGAGAAAAGGGCTTGTTGGCATCGAACTCAATAAGGAGAACCGGGCGTTTATAGTAGCGAGACATGGAAACGCACTGAGTGTACAGCCGGCCGCTATTGAGCGAGCCGATGAGGTCGCTGGTGCTCTTCCGCTCCACGCAGATGTCGGGGGTGAGGATGTAGTCCCCGACTTCTAACGTCACGGGCTCAATGTCGATGCCCCGCCGGTGGATCAAGGAGGGAAGCTCGCTGCGAAATTCACGCATGTCCACCACGATGCTGTGCTGCACGACGCTCTGCTGCTGGCCACCTAAGGCAGTGATGGCGAACCTTTTAGAGACTGAGTGCCCAAAAACCACGCCACTCCCCGCTCCGCCCCCGCTCCGCCCCCTGCCCCGCCCACCCGCAGGGCCACCCACCGCCTCCACAGCCCGCTGCAGATTGCCCAGGCGGCCCTCCAGCACCATAGCGGCCACGCCCTCCACCCGCACCCCACAGCACCATCTGCGCGCGACGGGGTGCGAGGGCGGAGTCTTGTCCCTGCTGCCTGAGTCAATGAGTCATGAGTCAACGTGAAACCCCGCCCCCAAAAGGACAGAGACTGAGATAAGGTCTTAAGAACGGTTGCCGAGAGTCCAAAACAGACCTGCTTTGCGGGTATCGATCGAAAGGGTGGCTGCCGTGGAATCTCTTGCTAAATCCAAGTTGGTTTCATCTCGCCCTTCTCTTTCTTCTGGAATTACCATGCCAGCTTTCTCTCTGAAACGAAGAAGAGGAAGAGGATGCATCAGTATTAATTACTTTCAAGCACTAAAACTGTCCAGCTTGAATGTGTGGGAGGGGGAAGTCTACTCCAGAGCCATCGCCATGTTTTAATTCATTTGTTATAAGATAGGTGTCTATACAAAAGTTTTAATACATAAATAAATATGTATTAAATATGCACGGCCACTGGCCACTCTGCCTGGAGATGATGGACGGTGTTATATTGTAGCTGACTGGGGAAGGTTTGGCTTGTAACTCACCACTAGCTGAGAAACAAGGATTAACAAAAATATTTTTAATTTACTAGTAGGACTTGGGGCAATTAATACAGGTAGCCCTTGACTTACAAGCATCTATCTATCTATCTATCTATCTATCTATCTATCTATCTATCTATCTATCTATCTATCTATCTATCTATCTATCTACCATCTATCTATCTACCATCTATCTATCTATCTATCTATCTATCTATCATCTACCTATCTTCTATCTTCTATCTTCTATCATCTATCATCTATCATCTACTATCTAATCTATTTATCTATCTTCTATCTATCTTGTCTTCTATCAGCTATCTATCTATCTATCTATCTATCTATCTATCTATCTATCTATCTATCTATCTATCTTCTATCTTGTTTTCTATCATCTATTTATCTATCTTCTATCTATCTTGCCTTCTATCTTCTATCATCTATCTATCTATCTATCTATCTATCTATCTATCTATCTATCTATCTATCTATCTATCTATCTATCTATCTATCTATCTATCTTCTATCTTGTTTTCTATCATCTATCTATTTATCTATCTTCTACCTATCTTGCTTTCTATCTTCTATCATCTATCTATCTATTTGTCTGTCTGTCTGTCTGTCTGTCTGTCTGTCTGTCTGTCTGTCTGTCTGTCTATCTATCTATTTATCTATCTAATTTATTTGCCGCCCATCTCTTGTCCAATGACTCGTTCTCTTCTTGCATTACAGCACACAGCAGCGGTCAGAGCGCTGGATTAAACCTGGAGAGGCTCAGATCCCCCTGATGTCTTTCGATGATTTGCCATTCCCTCCACCCAACATGCCCTAAGAGAGAGAAACCATTTCATTGCCAAGGAGAGAAACACAAACGCCTGCTTGCCTCCTACGGCTGCTGCCGATAAAAGGGATGGGAGAGATTTCGCGAAGACTCCCTCTGCACCCGTCCTCTAACTTGTTATATAATTCATCGCTCCCCCTCTCCATCTTTTCACATAAGTTTGCTACCTTGGAAACATGGAAAGAGAGAAGGACACGGGCCGCCTAGCAACCGAAAGCTCTAGCAGTCTTCTAAATGGGTGGGAATCTTTTGAGGAGTTCTTGCAGATAATTGCATTGATAGGAATTGGCATTATAACTTGGCCAATTTTAGAGGAGGAGGAGGAGGAGGAGGAGGAAGAATTGCTCACCATCTGTCAGCCCTTTGAGGTAGACCAGTCTAGGAAACTATACTGATTGTGTTGACCTAAAGACCTGCAAATTGGCTTGGGGACCTGATGGGGGGATTTTGACTCTTGAAGTGGCTGCTAGATTGACAGCAGTTCTTCACTTCCCACCTCTCCCCCCCAGCTCCCAATTCACCCATCTGTTTTTCCACTAATCATATCGTTGTCTTTTCTTTGTTTTCCTTTTCCTTGTTTTATTTTATTGTTCTATTATTTTACTTTTGCTTTCTTGAAACTTCCTTTTTTTATTTCTTCGGGTTTTTTTGTTTTTTTTAAATGGTTGCGAGCTGCCTAAAGTAGCCCTATCCCAGGCCCTTGGGAAGGACTCGAGAGGTAGACAAAAATGCCACATCCGGTCTGAACATCTGGCCGACCGTCTGACGAGCCGTAATTGTATTGTGTTGAATCTCTGGGGCAAATTCTCCCTTGTTGTTACTCTGGAGAGATGCTGTCTCCAGTGATGATCTGAAGCACCGCCCCCGTTGGGCGCTGCTCAAAGTGCCCCACAGCCAACTGTGCCTGACACAACATGAAATAGGAATGCTTTCGAAAGGTTAACACACGGGAGGGCTTTTACCGAATGAGTTTTTCAAAGGCTTCCTTCTCTTTCCTCAGCGTGGTAAGGTAGCGCTGCTCTTCCGTCGATCCTCCATAGATAAGGAAATAAACTCTGCAAGGTAAGAAAGACAGAAGACCTTCTCACATCCGAAAAGACGTTGGCTGGATTGCAAGCACACTCAATACTGGCTGGCAAAATAAGCCACAATGGCTGGGCACCTTCAGAATGCTGAACCATATATAGCACAAGACCAGAGTTTACCAAATGGACCTCAGGTTAAGGGGAAGCCAGCTAACTGGTATCCCAGAGGTTTCCTGAGGATTAAAATAAATAAAAAATAAATATGGCCTCAGTAGCACCTTCCCAATTCTGCGCTGGTGTGTTATGATCTCCGATGTCTTGGGCTAGCCCTGGGATCTCCTAAGCCTCAGAGCAAGAAGCTGATTTTCCGCTTTAATAAGAATTAAGATTAAGAATCTTTTCATTAATAAGAATTAAAGCCTGTGATTCACTCCATACGAAGGAGAGGCTCTGATCAGATTTACCCATCTACGCATCCTTCCTCCATAGAAGACTCTGGAGAAATACTGCAAAATGACTATAAGCACGTATTCATTTCTCCAAGCCAAATGCGGTTGGGTCTGTGTTGTTGTTTTTTAAAAGAAAGAAATTGCATTATTTTTTTATAAATAGATGATATTTGGAGCTCAGGGTTGAACTGTGGGGTCCTTGGCGCTCTCTTAGCTTGGTTATTTTCTTGCAGACGTTTCATGACCCAACTAGGTAACACCATCAGAGCTACAGGGAGTGGAGTTTGCCCTCTGTTTATACAATGGTTTGCCCTGTTAATGTTGGTGGGAATATTCTTGGTGGCTTCTTGAGTAAGCTGTTCTCTACAGCAGAGGTCCCCAACCCCAGGTCCGTGGATCAGTACCGGACTGCGGCACGCCAGCAACCAGTCCGCACAAACAAGCAAAGCCCCATCCGTGAGATGCAGGTAGCACACAAAACCACACACTCTCCGATCCGTGGAAAAACCTCTCTCCACGGAACCGGTTCCTGGTGCCCAAAAGGTTGGGGACCTCTGCCCTGCGGCATTGTTACTACTCTTAGTGCCACTAGTTGGATAATGAAATGTCTGCAAGAAAACAGCCGAGCTCAGAGAGCACCAAGGACCTCACTTTTTTATTTTTTGGGGGGTCCAAATTAGCCCGGAGCGCAAACACAGCCAGAACAATCTCTTCCTGCCGTTGCTCCCTTTCACGCCAAGTTACCTCAAAGGCTTTCCTGGTCTGCTAGCCTTGTAAATTTCCAGCTGGCGAATGAAAGTCAGCTCTGCGTCGTACAAGACCACGTATCTCGGCTCCACCTCGTGCAAGACGGAGGTGAGGGCGTACGGATCCCCACAACCGTTTAAAGGATGGATCACCGTCAGCGGCTCCTTTAGGATGCCGTAATAGGCGTCGGAGGAGGAGAGTTCCAACTGGAGATCTTCTGATCGTTCCCCATTGCTCTCCTGGCTACTGCTGAGGCCCCGAGAATCTTCTTCCTCTTCTTCTTCCTCCTCCACCTTGATATTTTCCTGCTCCTCTTTGCTCAACATTTGCGTCAGGGTTAACTCTGCTTTTTTCTTTCTCTTTTTCGGTTTGGAGGCTTCCGTTTTCGCTTTTTTGGCCGGCGGTTCGCGGCCATTCTTGTCGTGGCCCTTGGCCTCTCTCCTGTTCTTCAGGCAGGTCCCACCAGCCTCCTTCTCCAGCCCAAAGGTTTTGTGGTAGAGCCTCGTTAAATAGGCTTCGGCCCCGATCGTGATGTATTCTTTGAGCTGAGCACACGTCCGGTCGTCGCTGGCGCAAACCAGCACCCGCCCTGCAGCCAAGAGAGTTCCCACGCTTACGGCTTGAAAGCGAGTCAACCTTCCACCTCATACAGGTAGTCCTCGGCTTAACGACCAGAGCCGGGAGCAGAACTCCCGTTGCTAGGCCAGGTGTTAAGTGGGCTGTGCCTGATTTTATGACGTTTGCCCAGATTAAGTGAAGTGTGGCAGTTGATAAGTGAGTCACGCAGTCATTAAGCGAATCCAGCTTCCCCCCCCCCTCCTGGACTTTGCTGATAGGGAAGCTGGCTGGGAAGGTCGCAAATGGGGATCACAGGACTGATACATGCTGGCTGCCAAGCAACCGAATTTGGATCACGGGACCGGGAGGATGCTGAAACAGCCAGAAGGGCGAAGACCAGTCGTAAGTCCACTTTTTTCAGTACCGCTGTAACTTTGAACGGCCGCGAAATGAATGGTTGTTAAGTCGAGGACCATCTGTATTTTTAACCAAAAAAATAACTGTAGAGCAAGGGTCCCCAACTCCTGGTCCGGGGACCGCAGCATGCCAAAAAATGGTCCGCACAAACAAGCAAAACCCCATCTGTGGGATGCAGGCCGCACACAAAACTACACACTCTCCGGTCCATGGAAAAACCTCCCTCCACGGAACCGGTCCCTGGTGCCCAAAAGGTTGGGGACCTCTGGTCTAGAGTCTTCACAAAATGGTGCAGCTGTCCTCATCCCTGAACCAAAGTGCTACTGTTTTGGGATTCAGACAGCATGAAACAAAAGTTTTATATCTGAAGTTCAGCTGAAGAAGTTTCAGGGTGGAATAAAGGGGTATCCCTCCCTCCCTTCCTTCCATCCATACCTTTCTTCCTTGAATACATATAACTAAACTCTTTCCTTCTAGCTAAATTCCTTCCTTCCTCCCTCCCTCCCCTCCTTCTTTCCATCCATACCTTCCTTCCTTGAATACATATAACTAAATTCTTTCCTTCCTTCTAGCTAAATTCCTTCCTTCCTCCCTTTCTTTCCATCCATACCTTTCTTCCTTCCTTGAATACATGACTAAACTCTTTCTTTCCTTCTAGCTAAATTCCTTTCTTCCTGCCTTCCTCCCTCCCTTCCTTCTTTCCTCCCTCCCTCCCTCTCCTTCCTTCCTCCTTCCCTTCCATTCCTTCCTTCCATCCATCCATCCATCCATCCATCCATCATAGCTTCCTCCCTCCCTCCCATTCTCCCTGAAAAATCTCTCCCTTTACACAACTCCAAAACTTTTTTTTTTAATGATTTCAACAAATTTATGATTTCAGCAAAGTTAATGGTCCAGGCTGCCTCAAGAGATGGTGTTTTTCTTTCACTTGAGGCTGGACCTTAGGAATGGAAGCCTCGACCAGGTGACTTTTGAGCTGTTTTCATAGGACTCCCAGATTATTTCTCAACATCCCATTTTTTTCCTCATCCCAAAACATCTTTACACCGAGACACTATTTGCTGGAGGCAACGGAGTTCTTTCCGAGGTAGAGCGGAGTCTACTTCAAATGTTAAAAGAGACCTCTCCCCTTGGGGTGTGTATACACAGGGCAGATGCTCAAATAATGTTCCTGGCTGTCTCACCCTGTCCATCCTTGTCTGGTTGTAGGTCCTCACCTGGCCCACCCAGAGCTTCGCTGTTGGCATTCTCCTTTTCAATCTCCTTCAGCACTTCTCCCAGAGCTTCCCACTTCGGACTGCTTTCCAGGACCAATTCCCGCTTCTGTTCTGAAAAGGAACACAAATTATGACCTTTATCGATTTTCAGCATCGGCTCAACATCAAATCTTCTTTTTTCTTTTAATTTCCTGAATGCAAGCTTATACAGGAGCACCAGCACAATTTTGGAAGTGTATTAAAAATTCCTTGAGAGTAGTGTGCCCTATATACTCAGATTCCTCCACCACCCCCCTCAAAAAACACCTAATACAGGTAATCCTCAACTTATGACAACAATTGAGCCCAGGATTTATGTTGCTCAGTGAGAAAATTATTGAGTTTTGCCCCATTTTACGACCTTACTTGCCAGAGTTGTTAAGTGAATCACTGCAATTGTTAAGTTAGTAACACAGTTGTTAAGTAAATCTGGCTCCTCCATTGATTTTGCTTGTCAGAAAGTCGCAAAAAGGGGATCACGTGACCCCGGGACACGGCGACTGTCCTAAATGCGAGTCAGTGGTCAAGCATCTGAATGTAAATCACATGACCACGGGGAGGCTGTGACGGTTCTAAGTGTGAAAAACGGTCGTAAGTCCCCTTTTTTCAGGGTCGTTGCAACTTTGAGCAGTCACTAAATGCTGTTGTAAGTTGAGGGCTACCTGTCCACCTTGCGCTACGTGCGTGAAGAAGGGCGTGCCGTACCTTTCGCTTCTTTTGCGTCCGTTTTTTCGGAGGCTTTTTTTTTCTTACTCACGTTATCTTCCGGCAGGCGATAAACTCGGCTCCGGGCGTTCAGAAACATCGAAGTGCTAGAATCGAGAAAAAGCCAGCCTAGGAGATGAAGACGAGCAAGGGTCTTGTGAGTTGTGAGTAAATGGGGTTTTCGCGTGACCGATTGGCTCTCTAAACGCTAACGCTCATTGGCTACCATCAGATGAAGGTAAGCTACCTGATATCAACCTGAGCAAGTGGTGCTTCCTTTTTCTGGTTATTTGGCTATAACTTCTCATAAAATACAGTACAGATAATTGAACAAACTTTGTTGCATTACATTCTTGATTAAATTATCTTTCCGTTGATATATAATTTTACTCCAAAAAAAAGGTGATGTTATTAGCCGTCAAACCTCAAAAATACACTTTTCCCAAAAGGTTTCCACAATTTTTGGCCACTACTGTACTTAGCCTCCTAACTGACTTTTTTAAGCTTCTCTTGCTGCAGCTTCATTGTAATCACCATTATTTAGCGTGCACAGCATAGATCAGTGGTGGCAAATCTATGGCACGCGGGCCAGAGGCGGCACTCAGAGCCCTCCCTGTGGGCATGCATGCCATGCCCCGGAGATGGCAACCATCCCTCTTCAACCAGCCGCCTGCTAATTGGCCGAGGTCCCACATGGCCGGATGCATCCCAGCACCCATGCGCTCACTGAGTGCAGGGGCCGATGGTGTCAGGTAGCAGCCGCCCCGGCCCCTGCCTCACCTTTCCCTGTGACAATGGCACCCCCGCCCTGCCTTCCCTTGCCTCGCCTCACCCCGCAGGACGAGCCTCCTGCCCACCGCCCCACCTGCCAGAGACCCCCCTGGATCTCCCCCAACCCTGCCCGGCCCCCATAGACGTCCCTCCCCACGAGCAACATCGAGGTGATCACACCCACCTTGGCCACACCCACCCAATCTGCCATGACCACCACAGCCACGCCCACCCAGTGGGCCACGCCCACCTGGCACCCGGCAATAAATACGTGGGTTTTGGGTTGCAGTTTGGGCACTCGGTCTCTAAAAGGTTCGCCCTCACTGGCATAGATCCAGGGAACAGGCTTAACGTGACTTCCCACACTTGTCTGAACAAGCAAGAGTGGCCTAGTTTATTCATTCAAAACCCTATGACATAATAAGGCATGGCTTATTCGCCAATGGCGTCATTCCCATCTCACACGAAACCCAAAGGAAATAGTTCACACCAGGGCTTAGCTTAATGTGTAAACCCAGCCACGGGTTCGTCGCCATCTAATCAAGGGTTTCGCAAACCTGGGAATTTCAAGGGGTGTGTCTCTCAATTCCCACAACTCCCCAGCTAGGGAAAGACCTAGTCCAGGGGTAGGCAACCTTGGCTCTTTTATGACTCATGGACTTCAACTCCCAGAATTCCTGAGCCAGCATGGGGGAAACTTTGGCCCCTTCATGACTCGTGGACTTCAACTCCCAGAATTCCTGAGCCAGCATGGCTCAGCTTGGAAACCTCTCCCTTTCCCCTCAGCATGGCTGGCTCAGGAATTCTGGGAGTTGAAGTCCACGAGTCATAAAAGAGCCAAGGTTGCCCACCCCTGACCTAGTCCAATCAATCCAGATCTAATCCAATCCATATCGACCCTTCAAGTTTTGCTTTGGAACGAAGATTGCACAAAGCCGACAAATTGCCGTAAAAAGTGTGTATGGTTCATTAATAAAGTGTGCTTATCACAGGCGGTGTTAACAAGCCAGGAAATTCATTCTGAGCCCTAACACGTGCAGGACGATGACAAAACTGATATGTCAACAGAATGAGGGGTTTCAAAAAAGAAAAGAAAAGCAAAAAAGCTCAAAGGATAAGCCAATTTTTTTTACCCCATTTGAGCCAGGCATATATGTGCCATGATCTCCTCCCTACAAATCCAGAAAAAGATTTAACCACTTATTTTTGCTTTTGGCGTGAAACCCGCCCCAACAGATGGATGGCCTCAGGAACGCTAATAATTTCCACGTGGGACAAATGTCCTGAAACAGCACAGCTTCCAGATCCTTGCGTTTCCCTTCTTCTCCCAGTGGCCCTCCTTATATAATGACTAAGGCATCTGATCCGAACGGCACACATTTTTCAAGCAACAGCCGTTAAGTGGGAGGCTGAATATATTTCGTGTCCTCCAGCCTTCTGGATAGATGGGAACACTCGGGGACATTTGTGCGCATGTGTTTGTTATTTTGCTTCTAATTAAAACTTGGCTTTTTATCACGGGGTGAACCGAACGATTCCTGCAAAAATTTGAATTTAGGTGAGTCACCGGGACCAGAGATTTACTGGTTTATATTATTTACCGTTAAATCTCTGGTCCCCGGTGACCAGCCCCAAATTCAATTTTGCATCATTATCCTGGGACAGGTATATTTGCCTTCATTCGAGCTATTCCTACCTGAATTGTGACCGAAAGTTTTTTCCGACACTTTGAGGGACTCCAGAAGGTGAAGGAAAGTGACGCAATCATACTGGGTCAAGTACTGTAACAATGTGCGAAGGATCTTCAAATCTTGGACCAGAGATTTGGTCTTGGATCCTAGCTGGTGCCAAAGAGGATCTAAATAGTGACGAATTATCTGGAGGTACAGCATTGGGAATAATGGTTAGTGCGTGGTGCAGTGATCTATACTTGATCCAAGTCAGCTGATCTCTTAACAGATTTAGCAATAGCACTTAGACTTATGTACTGCTTCACAGTGCTTTACAGCCCTCTCTAAGCGGTTTACAGAGTCAGCCTGTTGCCCCCAACAATCTGGGTCCTCAATTTACTGACCTCAGAAGGATGGAAAGCTGAGTCAAGCTTGAACCGGTCAGGATCGAACTTCTGACTATGGGCAGTCAGCCTGTAATGCTGCATTCTAACCACTGGGAAGGAAGGAAGGAAGGAAGGAAGGAAGGAAGGAAGGAAGGAAGGAAGGGCAATAGCACTTAGACTTATATACCGCTTCACAGTGCTTTACAGCCCTCTCTAAGCCCTCTCTACAGAGTCAGCCTGTTGCCCCCAACAATCTGGGTCCTCATTTTACTGACCTCAGAAGGATGGAAGGCTGAGTCAGGATTGAACTGCAGGCTGTGAGCAGAGTTTGCCTGCAATACGGCATTCTAATGCAGTATTTAGTATTTAGATCCTGCAAACCTTTAAAAAGAATCAAGTCAGAGGTTTGTTTCCATTCTTCAGTGTTGCCCATTCACAGCCACACCCGATTCCATTGAAATTTTAGGGACCTTAGATTAAGCCCAAAATGTGCTTATTAAAAAAAAAAAGAAAGAATCCCGATTCCAATGAAGTTATGATCCTGGCACGCAACCGGCAAATAAAAGAACATTTATTTCATTGTTAACGAGCTTACGATAAGCAAGCCAGGGACTTGGAGAGCTAATAAAACATTCTTTTATATAAAAACACCGTCCAAGTATTAACAGATGTCAGCCCCTCCATTAAAAAAAAAAAAAAGACAAACTTCGCTCCCTAAACTAAACACAGCTGGTAAGAAAGGAGAAAAGTTCAACTGGAGAGTTTTGACTAGGTGCTGCTGAAGCTCATGACATTTCACAAACCATAAAATAATAATAATTAAAAAAAACAGAGGAATTCCTTCCAAAAGAAACAGATGCGTGATCTGAGGAGGCTTTTGCTAAATTAAGGGAAGGGAAACTGCCATTAATGAATGTAAGATGCACATCTTAGGATGGCCAACAATCAACAGAAACCTCACTATTTTTTCCTTCTTATAACTTAGCCAAACATTTCACCTGAGCTGATTCTGTCCTGGAATATCCTTCAAATGCCACTGCTAAGCTTCAGAAGCCGAAGGCTCTTCATTCCAGCTCCACAGACCGTTATCTCATTACTAAATGATCACACACACCCCCTCCCGACAAGCTTCCCCAGGCTCAACCACAGGCTCAACTTAGATCCTGCAAATGCAGCACAGAAATATCTGTCACGTTTCGAAGCAGGGTTTTTGCTGTGGTGCGACAAATATTGCTTCTCAGCTTGCCAATGAACTTGCCAACTTCAAAGATTAAGAAGCCAGACCGTGAGACTCAAGGCCGTCACACCAGGTGTCTGGCCAGGCCTAGAGATGCTTTCTCATAACAATATTTTCCCACTTGATTGGGCAACGTGACCTGACCCAGAGGGAGGAGGGAGAATTCAATGCTTTTACTATATGGGTTTGGGAGGGGTCTTGCCAGAGCTGGTTTTGCTTTCATTAGTGCCGAAGTGATGTACTCAATAAAGTTTTGCACTAAGAGATCGGAACGTCTCGAAGGTGTTTGCTTGGTTGGGTTCGTCAGGCGGAACCTTGACGACTTCACTGAACAAGAGTTGAACGTGCATCCAACTTTGGAATCCCCCCGTTCGAAAGTAGAACATTTCAATTCAAAGGAAGACACGCCACTCCTCTCAGACTGACGATGCCTGTACAAATCAATACAATCCATATGGCAAGCTGAGAAGGGGGTACCTTTTCAAATGCCATGCCGATAGCGTTTTCTAACGACAGGTCCTCCACTTCCAGAGCAGGGTTGCACTGCTTCAGTTCTTTCAGACACGCGTTCAGGATGTCCAATATGGAACTCTGGATGGTGCGCATGGCTGGAGTCATGGTGATGTGGATTTCCACCACTTCAGGCTTGTGTTGCTCTAAACAAGAGTGCACCACTGCGTGAAACCTGGGAAAGAGAAAGACAGGAAGATCTCAGTAACGAAGTGCACAAATCAACCCCCGTCTTTGGTTTCTAGCTATGGACAGTTGATCTGTCAGAGCATGCACCGTCTTATTGCGCTGAGGTAACCTAGGAGTAAATACAATAAACAGTGGTTTGTATTAAATGTGGTTCATATTAGACATTATCTACAAATGTCCACTAGAAATAAAATACATACACGGGATAACGCAGCAAACTCCAACACACAGCAATTACAGCAGGAAACGGACAAGAGAGAAAGACTCCAGCAAGGCCTTCCCTTTTGTACTCAAGCTCTTAAAGGGATACAGACTCCTGCTGAGTCATTCCTAACATTGCATCGTTCGTTTCACATTATGCAAGCTGGTTAGCTTCTAAATCATTACCTTGACATGATCTAAGTCCTCCCGTTGGAAGGATCTCTTCAATCTCAAAGACGCTCTTCCAAAAGACAATTGGATTTTCTGGGGATTTTTTTTATTTATTTGAAAACGTTTCGCTCCAAAGCTTCTTTGGTTTTGGATGAAAAGCAAAATGTTTTCAGAGAGAAAAAAAACCCCAAGGAATTCCAGTTGCCTTTTGGAAAAAGCACCTTTGGGGAAACCATGAGCTGGATGATTGAGGATCTCCATGGAGCCTTTCCATCCTTAAGCCACCTTACCTTGGCCAGAGATACAGCTTCCTCACGAAGAGGTTTCGCATGACTCTTTCCACGTGACAAAAGCCGGTGTTAAAAGCCACCGCGTTATCGGTGAAGGCTTTGATGAAACCTTGCTTGTTCTTCTGGCGATAAAGCCGCAAGATGAAAGCTTCTTGGCAAGACTCAATGATCCTGTGGGCTTTGTACACCAGAATTCCTGGCAGGATAACAAGAATAAATTGGAAGCAGGGGTGATGGTGGCGGGGAATCCAGAACAAAACAGACGGAGAGGACATAACGTTTTTTTCAAGACAGGTCAAGAAGTTTTAAAGGTTTTGCCGATGAAACGGCATAAGATATTTTTTAACTATCCTTTGGCACCTCCTCCAGGGAGACAAGAATGGATGCTTTTCATTCCTTCTTCAGGAGAACGGTGGACAAGATCGGCTCAAGGAATTCAAACAAGAAGCGGAAGTATTCCCTGGTCTTAGAAGTTTTATTCAAATGAAATACCAAAGCTTTATGGGATGCCTCTAGTCAGAAATATGACCCATGGAATGCAACAGGATTTACTCTCAGATAAAAGCTCACAGGATTAAGAAGCAACCACTATGATCAGCTAGAACAGGGGTCTTCAAACTTGGCAACTTTAAGACTTGTGGACTTCGACTCCCAGAATTCCTCAGCCAGCCAGGGCTGGCTGAGGAATTCTGGGGGTTGAAGTCCACAAGTCTTAAAGTTGCCACGTTTGAAGACCCCTGAACTAGAATCTCTAGGAAAAGCCACAAGCCACACAGAAAAGCATTTCCTTTTCAGAATGCACCTTTAAACAGTTGGGCATCTCTCTCAGTAAAAAGATCTTCAATCAATGGATCATAAAGATTTCCAGGACTGAACCCAGCTTATTTTTGTCCTAACGCTACGGATCAGCCACAAATGCTGTGACTACGGTATTATGTGATATTTTGATTCCCACTTTTCCTCAAAACTGGTCAGCAGTCTCCATTTCCAGTTTTAGCTGTTGGCTTTATAGCAGTCTTTTTCAGCCTTGGCTACTTATTTATTTATTTATTTATTTATTAAATTTATATACCGCCCCATCTCCCTTACGGGACTCAGGGCGGTGAACAGGCGATACTAAAAACCACGATAATAAATAAATAGTTTCTGTTCTAAAATCGAATTAAATATCAGGCCTGTTCTAAAAACACACCCATACAAAAACCCCCACTGAAACATAATCAAACTATGCCAGGCCGGCCGCATGGAATAGATGGGCCTTCAGGGCTCGGCGAAAAAAGCGCAGGTCTACTTGAAGGTAGGTGGGCTTCAACTTCCAGAATTTCCCAGCCAGCGCCGTAAATGTTACACATGCTGGCTGCTGGGAAATTCTGGGAGTTTGCAATCCACACCTCTTCAAGTCGCAGAGATTGGGAAACCCTGGCTTAGAGAGACAGAAAGTGACTAGTTCAGGATGATCCTGCAAACCTCATGACCTAATTCCAGCCATTATCTCTAACTAAGCCGCACAGGTTTTTAATGCAGGAAAGAATGCCCTGGGCACGTCTCCATGACTAATTTGTTAGCTTACGCTGCATTTTTAATAGACCTTCTCCCATGCTGACCTCTAGTGGGAACGAACCCTATAAAACAAAGGAACGTTCTTTGAAATTTGCCTTCATGTGAACCCAGAGGAACAATAGACCTACATTTTTTTCAGTCTAGACTCAAAACTATGCAAGGCATGCCGTGAGGCCGGAATGGACACCCAGCTGTAAACTTCTTACCCGTGATAAGATCTGTAGGAATCCTGTCGGTCAGAAAATCCACCACCAGGATTCGGCTAGTGGCAAAAATAACTCCTCCCTGTGTGTAAACTTCATAGCGGCTGCTGCTGGCAATTTCATTTGTAACTCGGCGAGGAAGACAAGCAACATTATCAGTCTTTAACTGGTCAATAAAATATTCCTGGCAAAGGACAAATGATTCAGAGTGAAGATAAGCAACATTATCAGTCTTTAACCGGTCACTAAAATATACCTGATAAAGAAAAAATGAGTCAGAGAAAGCCATGTAGACAAAAAAAAGGATGCTTTATGAATGCATTGTCCAGTAACATGCCAATAACATTACAGTAGAATCGTGGGTTGATCTTATCGAGGATGGCTAGCTTGGATCACCCATTGGCCTTTCCCAGAATATTTCCCAACCTCCACGTTGAGGATTTGTATTCCTTAGACTAATTCCTTATTAGAGCAATTATTTTAAAATTGCTTTTATTTTTACAAACCTTAAGACTCCCCAAACTCAGAGTGAACTATTAAGCATAAGTGGGGGATTTTGGCTATGTCAGAATTGGTTTTCAGCAAATAAGTTTGCTATTAATATATATAGTTGACTATTCAGAAGTTAAGGAAGAAATCTATCTATCTATCTATCTATCTATCTATCTATCTATCTATCTATCTATCTATCTATCTATCTATCTCTATCTATCTATCTATCTATCTATCTATCTATCTATCTATCTATCTATCTATCTATCTATCTATCTATCTATATCTGGACATAATTCTAGGCACGCAACCCCCTTGAAAAAGTGCACTTTACTTCTAAGCAAGCATTCATAGATCATGTTATAAATCTGAATTGTTTCTCTATGGCATCCTTAGGTTGCAATGCTACACAATATTTGTCAAGTAATGGAGCCCACTGAATTAAACAGAGGAATTATTCTTGAGTCGATATGCATAGGCTTGTAGGCATTTGAATATCATTAGTTGACATTAGGAGACATAAAATGTTATACGTTACTAAATATCTCACAACCTCGTTGATGCCTTAAGATTTGGCACACTTTTAACATTTGATTACACATTTGTTTCTTCCTTTAGTTGCCTCTGAGTTTAAACTGTATGGGGTGTTTCTAATAAAAATAATAATAATAAAGGGAATAATTCACTTGTTCTGAGCTCCTTGCAAGAAAGACCGGCTCAAATGGAAAGGGAACTAAGCTTCAGACAGATGACTGGAGCAAACTATTCTCGGAAGGACCCAGGAGGCAGGACAAGGCCAGGCCCACCTCCGGTTCAACCCCTTTCATGTCAGCCCCTCCTCAGGAGCTGGTGGTTAAGGCACCAGGCTAGAGACTGAAAGGCTGTGAGTTCCAGTCTTGCTTGAGGCACACAAGCCCACCACTTCTGAAAATCTTGCTAAGAAAACTGCCAGGATGGATGGATGGATGGATGGTCAGCTGGGGCAGAAGTTAAAGTGACAGGCTAGAAGCCAGGCGACAGTGAGTTCCAGTCCTGTCTTAGGCGTGAATGGTAGCTGGGCGACCTTGGGCCAATCGCTCTCTTCCAGCCCAACCCATCTCACAGGGTTGTTGTTGAGGGGAAAATGGCAGGAGGAAGCAATCTTAGATATGTTTGCCACCTCAGGTTATTGATACAAATAATAAAGACTGGAGAGTAGGAATTCTAGTCCTGCCTTAGGCATGAAAGCCGTCTGGGTGACTTTGGGTCGGTGAGTTCTAGTCCCGCCTTAGGCATGAAAGCCAGCTGGGTGACTTTGAGCCAATCACCAGGAGATGGTGAGTTCTAGTCCCGCCTTAGGCATGAAAGCCAGCTGGGTGACTTTGAGCCAATCACAAGGAGTCGGTGAGTTCTAGTCCCGCCTTAGGCATGAAAGCCGGCTGGGTGACTTTGAGCCAATCACCAGGAGTCGGTGAGTTCTAGTCCCGCCTTAGGCATGAAAGCCAGCTGGGTGACTTTGAGCCAATCACCAGGAGATGGTGAGTTCTAGTCCCGCCTTAGGCANCGGTGAGTTCTAGTCCCGCCTTAGGCATGAAAGCCAGCTGGGTGACTTTGGACCAATCACAGGGAGTCGGTGAGTTCTAGTCCCGCCTTAGCCATGAAAGACAGCTGGGTGACTTTGAGCCAGCCCCTCGCTCTCAGCCCAGCCTACCTCACAGGGTTGTTCTTGTGGGGAAAATAGCGGGAGCATTGGATACTCTGCTTGGAGTTGTACCAAAATAAAGGCAGGACAGGCCTCTGCCCTCCCTTCTCCCCCCCCCTCCATGACCGGCCTGGCCTTCCCACCCAAACTGGGCCAACCCTGAACAGAAGCCCCCTAGGCTTCTACAGGCGCTCTGGGGCGCGGCGTTAACCCGGGTCGAGCGTCTCGTGGGAACTCGGCCCGGGTGAGGGCGAGGGTCGCGCCTACCTCCTCCGCAGGGCTGGTGTTCAGCACCAGCACCAGCCGGGTGGGCTCGCAGTAGAGGCGAAGGAAGCGCAGAAGCAGGCGGTCGACGCCCAGCCCGCGGGCGCAGATGACCAGCCCGTCCTGGTGGAAAAGATCCAGGAAAATCTGCGTTTCGTGCTCCAGAGGCGGCCCGGCCGCCATGGCCGGCGGCTGTCACCGGCACCCCCTCTGCGCATGCGCCGGGAGGACCCCCGCGCTCGCAAGGTAAGAGCGACGCACGAACGGAAACTTCATGTGGTGGGAAGGTGACCCTCCTTTCAGGCCGGAAGTTTCTCTATGGATGCGGCGGGGGGAGGGAGGAACGCCCGGAGCTGCCTTCGTCAATTAGAGATACAGAAAACTCCGCTGCCATCTAGCGGTCGGCGGGTTGATCGTTTCAGGTTTTATTGCAATTGTTTGATCTATTCTAGCCTCTCCGGACGCCAATGATATTCTGCAGCGTTTCTTAATCATTTTAAGAAGTCTGGACTTCAACTCTCCAAATTCCCCAACCAGACTTCTTCAAGTAGTTAAGATTGAGAAACTCCGTTCTAGAGGGCTTTACAAGTATGGAGCATCGGAATAAAGTTTTAAAAAGTATACAAACAAGAAGCCAGAAGGGATGGTCAAGACCTGCACCACGATTAAGACAGAAGAGAAGGGGTGGTTTGGATGGCCAGGAGGCCCCCCACCCCCCGCATTGCCATTTTTCTAAGGAAGGGAGAAAAGGAGAAAGGAGAAAAGAGGAAGGAAGGAAGGAAGGAAGGAAGGAAGGAAGGAAGGAAGGAAGGAAGGAAGGAAGGAAGGAAGGAAGGAAGGAAGGAAGGAAGGAAAAATCTGAGTGAACGAGAAGGAAGGGAGGGAGGGAGGAAGGAAGGAAGGAAAAATTATGAGTGAACGAGAAGGAAGGAAGGAAAGAAAAATTCTGAATGAATGAGAAGGAAGGGAGGGAGGGAGGGAGGAAAAATTATGAGTGAATGAGAAGGAAGGAAGGAAGGAAGGAAGGAAGGAAGGAAGGAAGGAAGGAAAATTCTGAATGAATGAGAAGGAAGGAAGGGAGGGAGGGAGGGAGGAAAAATT